GAAATTGGTGTCATATTTCTGGAGGGGAGCTTGGCAGGACTTAACAGCCTCCTTTGAAAATGTACATACCTGTTTTTCAGCAATTCCACATCTAAGAATTTATCTTAAGGAAATAATTAAGCTTGTTTGCAAAGATTTAGCTTCAAGGATATTTAGCATGGTATTATTTATAATAGCAAAATATTGGAGCGAGCCTAAATATCCACAAATAAGGAATTTGTTCAATAAATATATGTACTGTAATATTATGTAGCCACTAAAGTAAATGTTTTTACGAAATAGCAAATAAAAACAGATTACAACAGTATGTTCATATCAATCTCATTTAAACATGTGAGTTTGTATCTTTAGGAACACACACATAGCACACATACCCATACACACACACCTAGATACAAATTCAGAAAGAAAATGCACCCACAGTTGTCAAGGGTTTTGTGGTTATGACTAATACTCATTTCATTTTCAAATTTATTTGCACTGATTATAATTATTAAAAAAGGAGTTTGATTTTTAAAAGGTGAATGCAGCCTTATACTCAGGTGATGGCTGCAGGAATTCAAATGAGGGGAGTCAGGAAACAGAAGTAAAGTCCTCAGGCTAGAGCTGGAGAAAGCTGGGAGGTGGTGGTTTTGAGCTCCGTGAACTTGATAAAGAACGTATGACATCAAAATGGGGACATCAGAAGCAACAGCTGTTTTGAGTGGAGAATTGGGTATTGATCTCATTGAGTCTCAAATATGAAGAGGGAACCAAGTACAAATGTCTAACTTTTGACCAAAGAGGCCCAAGTGGGAAAGCGTAAAGAGACAATTGCAAAGCAGCTGAAATAAGATTATCTCAGGGTGTTTCTTCAGTATTACCAGTGTAAACTTACTGATACTGGTGATATTCTCCATAAGAATTTGGTAAAACCAATTGGTGACCTGTGAAAGACTTTCAGATCACAGTTCTGCTGACTTTGAACAATACAGAGAAATAGCTAGAGTCAGGTTTTCCTTGAAATTACCTTTTTCTTATTATCGACACTTGATTTTGTACTTTTTATTCCTGGGTTCTAGGCAGCCCTGTGTCCCCTGTTTTTGAGAGGCCAGTAGCCTACCAGTATCCTAAATATGTCCAGGTTTGCACAGATCAGTGTCCTGTAGGGTCAATGGCATGTGAGTATTCACACAGTCTCACAAATATGGCATTTGCCTGATGTGAGGTGATTTATATATGAGAAAACCCAGAGATAAACAGAAGCACACATAAGCCACATATATACCTATGTGCAGGAAATGACACATTTGTAAAATATAAATTAGAACTTATATTAAGGTTAAAAATGGCAAGATAAAATTAGCTAAAGTCACTATTCTCATATTTATCTCTAGCAAGATAAATCCTCTTTTGAAATGTCATCATTGACTCCACAGATTACAGTAATTCCCCAACATATGAACCTTCAAGTTGCAAACTCTCAAAGATGCAAACATGTGCTCACATGTCCAATCACCTGTTTTTTTTACATGTCTAGCATACATTGTCACGTGCATGCATCCTCTACAAGTGGTTGTGCTTTTGTGTACTTTACTGTACAGTACTGTACAGAGTGCAGTAGTACAGTATCTATTTCAAGCCCAGGACATCTGGAAGCAAGCATAAAAGTGTCAGTGATATAGCTGGTACTGTAGAGCTGGTTGTGTTAGTTGGGTACCTAAGCTAACTTGGTTGAACTTACAAACAAATTGGACTTATGAACACACTCATATGTAGGGGACTTGCTGTATATTTTTAAAATGTGGAGATATTCAAATGAGATAATAAGTAAAATTTCTAGCACCTAATCAGTGCACAGTAAAAGTCAGATCCTCTGTGTAACAGCTTTTACATTTATTAAATTACACGATTGAAGGCATGTCTTATGACCTTCACTGATTCCAGATTCCTAAATAAGGATGATGCCAACTCTTACAAAGCTCCCACCAGAGAATTTACAATTGGGCAAGGTCATTGGTGAAAAGGCCAGTTTCTGCATTCAGGTTTAAGTGCACACATCTAAAGGCTAGTTTTTACAGTATTGTTTTATTGCCGACCACCATTTTACCTGCATTATATTGATTCTTTGATCTTATTGTCAGTGTACTTTATTTCTCTCTGCTTTGACTTTAATAAGAGGCATGATACTTGACACAAATATTTCCCAAGGGGCAATTATAAGTATTAATTGGTTTGCAAAATACCTTTTGAACTACACAGATGAAAGACCCTGTGTAAATAGCAAATATTTATGTTGATCTTGTTATGTGTGTTTTGGCTCCTGGTTACTGACTTTTAAGACACTGAGACCTGCATTTCAAAATTTTAAGATGTCTTCTTCTAGGCCAAAACATAACCAGATATTTAATATTTTAAAGTTTCTCTTCCAAAGAGTAATTTGTCTTAAATGATAGAAATCTGGCGATATGAATGTTGTTTATGTATAATACTTCTGATTTCAATTGTTAACAGCTTTGTGAAATTATCCAAGAAATTCTCAAGTTTCAAAAGATTCAAATCCGAGAAGTAAAACTAGTTTAGGAATTGCCTTCTCATCAGCCACTTAGGAGACTCCTGGGCTTTCACTGCCAAGTAGGCTGATTCTGTTACTTTTACACTCAGACCAGTAATTCTCAACCAGGGAGAGTTTTGCACCCAGGGGACATTTGTCAGTGACATTTTTGACTGTCACAGTTTGGGAGTATACTATTGTCATTTACTAGGTAGAGTCCAGGGATACTAGTAAACATCTCATGATAAACAGGACGGCCCCCTCCCCCCTAAAAAAGAATTATCCAGCCCAAAATGTCAGGAGTGCTGGGGTTGGAAAATTTTCTTAGACTACATTCAGTTTAGACAGTCCTTACTTCATCTTCAAAGACCAAAAGTTTCCTCCTAGGTTTGTTGCATACTATTATTTTTTAATTCCTCCTCCTTTATTTCTCTGTAGGTTGGCATTGTGGGAAGAACAGGAGCTGGAAAAAGTTCCCTCATCGCAGCCCTTTTTAGGTTGTCAGAACCCGAAGGTAAAATTTGGATTGATAAAATCTTGACAACTGAGATTGGACTTCACGATTTAAGGAAGAAAATGTCAATCATACCTCAGGTATGTGAGGCAGAGAGTTGTCACATGCTTCTTTTATGAGGGCACCTAAGTTTAATTGCTTTCAATTTCATTGCTTTTTTTTTTTTTTTTTTTAATTGCATGAAAGGATTGATCCTTTCCCCCCACAGAGCATGTTTTTAACAGCAGGTATTTTCGACAGGTATTTTCATCTCATACTAGGATTTGTTTGTTCGTTCATTCATGTGTGTGAGTGTGTGTGTGCGTGAGAGAGAGAGAGAGAGAGAGAGATTGATTTAATAATAACTTACCCGTATAAATTTCTGGACTTAAACTTCCCCAGGTGCCACAGTTTTATCCACTGATAACCACATAATTCTGAGAACATAATGATAAATGGTTTGTTTAGCACTCAAGAGATTTCTTAGGGAAGCATGGAGTTTTAAGTGTCTTAATGATAGACTTTTGCTGTAGGAACTAAAGCTACATTTTCAAAGGTGATTATCTCCATGGAGGGCTTTCTGTGAAACCATGGAGCTGTAAGAATTACAAAGCTTATAGACGCTTTGGGGAGACTTTTAGAATCTAGCCGTTAGTAAGTGGTTTTAAGCAGGGAGGCGGTACCGAATATTGAAGAAGAACATGGAAAGAGGAATTCCATCTCTCTGCACTTCAGAGCTGTTGTGAGGCTAAACATGTAAGAGTGTGTGGAGGGCTTCATGCAGACCCAATATGTGATTGCTATGATGGCAAAGGGTTGAGTTGACTAGCTCTTCTGTTTTCTTTTTTTTATTATTCTGCTTCTTAATAGAAGTGTGTCTTTCAGGGAGCATTCTAGAGACTGGATTATTTGCACAAAACTCCTCTCATTGCATTGGGTTTATCTGTTTAACATAAATTCCCAAAGTACTTATTGAGCAAGTACTACCCTCCAGGTATCTAGTCATGGATCATGAAGACCCTGTGCCCACTAGCCTGGGGCCTTTAGCCAGGAGGCAGCACAGCTTCCATCCTGCCTTCTGCTTTGACACTTCACATATTCAACTTCAAACTTGCTGTTTTGTTTTTTAAATTTGTGGACTTTTTTACACTCTGCAATCATATGGCCATCCAGGGAGCTGAGAAACACACACACACACACACACACACACACACACACACACACACACGCACACACACGCACATTCTTGGGATGAAAAACATATTAATAGATACAGAGACAAGAAAAAAAGCCAAACAGATGAGCTTTCTGGGCATGTGGAAATAAAGGGCTCTTAAATGACTGTATATTAGGAAACATAGAGAACATGACACTCAATGGGAAGGAGAATGTAGGTTTCTAGACCAAATACAGCCATTGCTACCTTCCACTGATCTCTAAAATAATTTGAATTACTCTAAAGTAATTTTGAGGATGTGGAGAAATTGGAACCCTTTTGCACTGTTGGTGAGAAAATGGTACAGAGTAGAGGTTCCTCAAAAAATTAGAGTTAATATATACTCCAACAGACCCACCTCTGAGTACATATCCCCAAAAGAGCTGAAAGCAGGGTCTCAGATACGTGGACACCCATGTTCATAGCAGCATTATTCATAATACCCAGAAGGTGGAAGCAGCCCAAGTGTCCATCAACAGATGAGTTGATAAACAAAATGTGGTCTATACAGTGGGAAGTTATTTTAGCCTGAAAATGGAAGGAAATTCTGACACATGCTATAATGTGGATGAACCTTGAAGATATTAGGCTAAGTGAAATAAGCCGTCACGAAAGGTCAAATATGGAGTTTCACTAAAATGGCATACGGCAGAAGTACCTCCTACTAGTATAATGGTAAGACAGAAAGAAGAATGATGGTCACCAGGGGCTGAGGGAAGACAGGGATGGAGAAATGTTGTTTAATGGGTACAGGATTTCAGTTTTGTAAGATAAAAAAGTTGTGGGAATGAATGGTTGTCATGACTGCAAGCCAATGTGAATATGCTTAATACCACTGAACTGTATAGTTGAAGATGTTTTAGGTGGTATAAATTTTGTGTTATATGTGTTTTGCCACAATTAAAAAAAATTAAAGATATTTCTTTCAGGAAAAATGGAAGGAAATTTTCATCATATAAGATTCCCTCTGCCTATTAAAAACCTGACTCAGTGCTTCTTAGTAGAGACTGAGAGTATACATTTCCACATTTTATCTTTTGGTTGTACCTATCTCAGAAATAAGGACAAATGAGTCTACTCATCAGAGGTAATGAACGTGTCTGTAAAGTGCTTTCCTATCCCAGGATGAAAGGATCTAGAAACGTGCCTTGCGTTACTTTTAATGCTTCTTAATGAGAAATGGTTGTGTGCTTGTGTACATAAAAGAAATCTAAATAAAGAAGTAACGTTAGATGATTCTTGGCTCTGCCAGTAATGTTTTGGAAGCACATCTGAGCAAAGACTAAATATACCTTGACATCACCAGGTTTTGGTTCTGTTCCATAAGTTTCCACCCTACTCTTGAGCAAATGATCTATGTATGTACTCCAGGGAGCATGCTTACAAAACAGTGTTAAGCTTTGTATCCATGTAGATCATGATCACCAAGCATTGTAAACACAGAACCTTTATTTTTTAACTTTACATACCTTTGTCTCCAAGGTTGATAAAATAAACGTAGTCTAAAGAGACTGTGCATTGCATGCAGCATCCCAGGAAATCATTTGGGAGCGCCAGGAATAGATTCTTTCAGAGCATGTGCTGAGTGTTAATACAACTCACATTTTTATTCTGGCGCTGGCCAACACAAGTGGGTGACTTTGATGAAGTCATTTAGCCTCTGAGTTTCCTCGTCTTTAAACCAGGTCTAGTAATTACTGCCTCAGATTTGTTGGAAAGATTTTACTGGATGAGAAAATGTTTGTGGCCCTATACTGGCTTTGAGGAATGCTTAATAAATAGTAACAATTTATTACTAAAGCTTGGGGCACTGGCCTTTTGGGTATTATCGCCACTTGAGTAAAATGGTAACACATTCTGGAAGAACTTTGCTTGGTAATTTCTATTTATGTTTTGTGATTCTTGGTGATTTTCTTTAAATTGTTTACATAAATTTAAATAGTGAAGCAGCAATAAACAAACAAAAACATACAATAGGTTAGGAAAAAGCCTAAAAAAGGAGAGAAATATCATGTTTTCCCCAAAGGAACAAAAGATAAGACTATCATAATCTGTGGTCTCTTGTTCTCAGCCTTGCCCATGTTTCTCACTGTTTTCTGCCTCTCCATGGGGACAGGGACTGTCTCTCTCATTTCTAGTGCCCTGGTGCTTATTGTAGTCCCAGACAGGTTACTGGAGTAGTAATCCCTAAAGTTGTAACAGTTTGCCTCTTTCTCTCCCGTCTCTCTCTTAATCCTCACAACAATTCCATTTCATCCTCATTTGGCAGATTTAAAAACTGAGGCATGGAGAGCATAACCCACTTAACGCATACACAGCAGAGGCAGAATTGAAACTAAATACAGGGAGAGTACTGACTCCAGAGCCTGAGCTCCTGTACATTCTGCTAGGGACTTGAAACCCTCCTTGCCTTCCACAATCCACGAAAGGACCTCTGCTTTGCCTTGTGATTCCACATGGGCACATGTCGGCACATACATCACTGAAACAAATTTCACAACTCAGTATATTCTCTGTGCTTCTGCACCCTGATATTTTCTATTCTGTCCATTCATATAAAAGACAAAATGATGGGCACAAGCCACAAAATTGATTTCATGATCCATTGGTTGTGCCTGCAGTTTGAAAAATACTATGCCTCACTGTCCTGCCCTGCTTGGCTGGGTTCCTGCTGCGTGTTGGCACAAGGTGAGAAGCCACATTTATATTGTGATTGTCATAGCAGGCAAGGTGCATTAGATTAGCCCCATTTTCTAGGAAGGAAACTGAGACTTGGGGAGATTCCTACCTTTCCTTGAGGCAAATAGCTTATAGGGAGTAGAATCAGAACTCAGAACTATTAGACTCCAAATATTTTTTTCCCACAAGTATTTATTGAATGGAAGGATGACTCATCAGATAATTTTACTCATTGTTTTTCTGTTTTCCCCACTTAAAAAGGATTCCCTAAAACCATAATCAGAGAGAATAAATATAGAGCAAATTCAAGATAAGATACCTATTCCTCAAGCTTTGTTCCTGGTTTGAACAGTCAGGTGGTTTTGAAAGACTGAATTGGTTGTGATATTTTTTTTTGTGCCAGAAACCTCAAGTGACACTCAGCACTTTAAAAAAAAAAAAAAATCATTTTAGAAATAGGGTGTATTCACTTCATGTTTGAGTGGCTGGTTTTGGGGGAACCAGGCCTGTGTCTTTTTTTCCCTGGACAGAGCAGTGAACTCCTGTGTCCCCTGTCTTCTGGGTTCCTCCCCTTAGTTAATGCTTCACAGTCCTCCATCCCTTGTGAATCCACCATGAGCAGTTTAGAATTAGGGGGTAAGTGACAGCTGCAAGGACCTAGGTAGGAACAAGGGCACCAGAATGGTGACATACACTGTGAGGAGCTAGTCCTGAAGTCATTAAAAAAAAAAATACTACTGTGTCCTTAAAAATGTACCCCTTCATTTGAGTTCAAAAGAGAAACAAACAGTGAAAATACTTCCTAAATAATTTTCTTGAGCAGAACAGTTAGCTGAAATGTATGCTTCCTTTGTTTCCATGACATGAAGTAGTTAAATGCACTTCTCAAAAAGAACACCAAGATGATACTGTGTATCCACAGAATCGCTTATCTGAAGGATCTGGAAAAATGGATTTCAAAACTTTATTGGATGGGTTCATAACACCTAGAGCCCCTACCCTATTGGCACAAAGAAAATGTTTTCAACTGGATAGTAATTCTATGCAAGTTCACCATTTATGATAACACCCTAAGGGTTGGCAAACATCAACAGCTATAATCTTGGTTATGATTAAATAGATTCATTTTTTTTATTCAATAGAGTTTTTTTTTTAATATCAAAGTAAAAGCTAGGTGCCTTTTAAACAGCCCACTACTAAAAGTCT